TAGCTTTGCGCGAAATTCAAAAAACAAAAAAAACAAACATACTACAGATTTTCTTTATGTTTTCACTGTTATGGTTTAGTTGAACATATCTAATTTCCATAGCTCCCTGTGTTTTTCATTTGTATGGCTCGGATACTTGTCTGGCTTTAATTTTTCTCTGACTCTTTTCAGCTAGCCACAATGTTGTACACATATATTGTAACGATTTTCATTTCAACGTTTTAAAGTTATCGAGCTCGTAATACAAAGATTACCGTGTATTTTCACAAATATTTTCTATTTCGCTGTCTTTCAGATGTAAAGTTATTATGTTTTTCGTTACACGATTTGTTTTCGAAAATGTGTATTTGACACAACTATATATATAGCACTTAATCAATGCCTTTGTATTGATTTTGGTGACACACATAGAATGTTTTACTTATTTATTTTACGACAAATCAGTTTTACAACTTACATATTTTAGTAGTGTCTGTATGTATGTATGTGCGTGTATAGATGAAGACTGTAATGAAAACATCACAGGTGGACTATTCAGGACTATATATAGCACTTAATCAATGCCTTTCTATTGATTTTGGTGACACACATAGAATGTTTTACTTATTTATTTTACGACAAATCAGTTTTACAAACTACATATTTTAGTAGTGTATGTATGTATGTGCGTGTATAGATGAAGACTGTAATGAAAACATCACATGTGGACTATTCAGGACTATATGTGGCCCTGTTAGTTTCAAGATGCCCCATTTTTTACCTGGAGACCTATTGTTCAATTAGTATAATTTTCAATTTATTTTTTAACTTTTTTCTCCTGTTAACATATGAGTCACACGCACACATAAATATAACGAAAATACCGTTAACTACTATTAGAGGTTCTTATGGATTTTATGTTGAAAATGAGTCACTTCGTTGACTTTTTTGTTAATCTTTTACGTTGAATATTGTAACAGAAAAAAGATAAGATTACTCAACATAATACACTATGTTTACCCCACCGATAGTGAGGCCTGGCCTGGTGGTTAGGGCACTCGATTCGCGATCTGCGGATCATGGGTTCGAATCCCCATTACTGAACATGCTCGCCCTTTCACCCGTAGGAACGTTATAATGTGACGGTCAATTCAATCATTCGTTGGTAAAAGAGTAGCCCAAGAGTTGACGGCGGGTGGTGTTTACTAGCTGCCTTGCCTTCCAACTAGTCTATCATTTCTAAATATGAGATAGCGAGCGCAGACAGATTTGCACGAAATTCAAAACAAACAAAAACAGTAATGAATGACTTAAAACAAGTTTTTAATTTAAGGGTTAAATTCAAATGTTTTGGTAAGACATCGGGTGTCTTACTAAACGTACAAATTTCATAACAATTAGAGCTACGTTTAGGTTAATATGGACGTTCTTCCGAAATTGTCATGAAGCAAATTACAAGGACATTTTCTGGATCATGAAGTGTAGGTGTATATTCGAAACTTAAAAGCATAGCGGTATGTCTGCGGGCTTTCAACGCTAGACACCGGGTATCGATACCCGTGGTGGGGGCAGAGCACAAATAGCTCATTGTGTATTTTTGTGCTTAATTCTAAACAAATACGATCAACTATGCTTGTTGGAAAACAAAGTTATCTATAGACAAGGAAATT